TGGGACAATGAACATTTTCTACATTTCTTTTCTGTATAATTCGGTGAATAATTTGGACAGCTGCCATATTTATGAAAAGTTTTACATCTGTAGCAGATTCTTTTTGAGGATTGTTTAACTTCATAAACCTTAGAATTTGCGGGCTCATTAAGAAGTTCCATGTGTTGTTTGGAAACCTCAATGGATTCGCAAAAGTCTTTAATTTTTTGCAACGAAAAGGAATTATAAATTTGCCTACCTTCATCTCCCAAAATGTATAGAAATAGGGATATTTTAATTTTTTCATCTTTTTCTTTAATTTTTCCTGTCGCTGTCATATAGAGATCAAAATTTTCAATAAACTTCTTCCAATTGTTTTTCATATCTCCTTCCATAACTAATGACTCTGGTGCCTTAAGATCCATTTTTAAGGTCCTGACACCTGACACCATGTAATATTATATGAACTTGTATATATTTGAAGATTAAAGTTTAATATCAATTGCTATAATTATATGTCTCTGACAAGTCTCTTGACAATACTAGTAATTATCTATAAGGTAGAACAAGGTAGAACAGGTTAATGATGATAGAACAGATAGGTACAAATAATAATAATAAATAACTTATTATAACAGTTATTGTCTCTGTTGTATATTTCCAACCAAACTCTAGTTTGGAAGTCTATAATAGTTTTTTTAATCAATTTGAATGTCTTTTAGATGACGAGCGGACAGGAGTATTGATATTGGGTGATTTTAACCTCCCTTTTTTTGAAATATGTGATAATGATAAAAACACCTTGCTTACTGAGTTCCTTAATCTCAATAATTTGAGACAGTTGAATAACATTAAAAATTTTAGGAACAGGTGCCTGGACCTGGTTTTGACGAACATGGAGATACCGCAAATCACTAGGTCTGTGCAGCCACTAGTTGCAGAGGACCCCTATCATCCTGCACTTGAATTTGGAGTTCCAACGAAGGATAAGTTGGTAAATTGTATATCCAAACAGTATGTATATGATTTCCCAAAAGGGGATTTTCTACTTCTATACAATCTTGTGAAAACTTGTGATTGGACTGAAGTACTTTCAATTACAGATGTAAATATGAGTCTCAATTTATTTTATAAAAAGGTGTATGGTCTTTTAGATAGAGCTATTCCAAAGAGACAAATCAAACATTCTTCCAGTAAAACCCGTTATCCACGGTGGTATTCCATAGATCTGATTCACAAAGTCAAGGAAAAGAATAAGCTTCATAAGCGTATATTGAGTAAGTGTGCTGATTCATCAGTGCAATTGCACTTTAGTGAATTAAGACAATGCATCAAGCTGCAGACCCAAGCAGAATACAACCTGTACAAGAATAATGTGGAACTTAACCTAAATTCAGATCCCAGTTCATTTTGGCAGTTTTTGCATGAGAAGAGCAAGAATCGAGGGATACCGGGGGAAATGAAATTTAATGAGAAATTGTACTCGGGTTCTGAGGATATAGCGATGGCTTTTGCTCAGCATTTTGAGTCAGTATATGAAAGACCCAAAGTGTAAGTAAATACATGGGGAATGTAAACGGATGTGATTTTAAATTTTCAGATGTGTCAGAGTTGAAAGTTGTAAATAGTATTAAAAGGTTGAAGCCTAAAAAATCGACAGGGCCTGATCAGATCCCTGCCTATATTTATAAAGGATTGGCTGAGTTCATAGCTCTACCGCTCAAACATATTTTCAATCTTTCTATTGGAAGTGGACAATTTCCTGATGCCTTGAAGAATGCTCAGATTACACCTATTTTCAAGAAAGGACGAAAGGACGAAATTAGGAACTATAGACCGATTTGCCTCATTAATATTTTAGCAAAAATTTTTAAAACAATACTTTATGATTATCTTTCAGACTTTCTAAAACCTAAAATTTCTAAATACCAGCATGGATTCTTAAATGATAAGTCAACAATAACAAACCTCTCTATATTCTCGGAAATGGCGGCTGAGGCGATCGCGAATAAGAGCCAGTTGGATGTCATTTACACAGATTGTGAAAAGGCTTTTGACAGGGTGGACCATGTGTTGCTGCTTTGCAAGCTTGCTGAGTTTGGGGTGTCAGAGGATGCTTACCATCTTGTGAGGTCATACCTAATAGGCAGGGTCCAGACAGTGAGGGTCGGCGCTTGCAACTCTGAGGCGTTTGTTGCAACCTCAGGTGTCCCGCAGGGTAGTAAACTGGGCCCTCTTTTCTTTTTGTGTTTCATCAATTCATTGCCCGACTGCCTGAGGGACTCTATGGGACTTCTCTTTGCTGATGACTTCAAGCTCTGTAGGATTGTTGAGCGGCAGGAGGACTGCAGAAGGCTTCAGGGTGACATGGATAGGGTGATGGACTGGTTCAACAACAACAGAATGTCCCTAAATGTTAATAAGTGTTCTGTTGTCAGCTTTACGAGACGAACAAACCCAATAGAAGAAACATACAAGATTGGTGATACTGAGCTTGATCGTCAAACAGAGGTGAAGGATTTGGGTGTCTTTTTCCAGGCCAACATGAAGTTCAATAAGCATTTTCATCATGCTGTCAATAAAGCAGTAAAAGCACTTGGCTTTGTAATCAGGAATAGTAAGAACTTTAAAATAAGTACAATTATTAACTTGTATAATGCTCTGGTGAGACCACACCTTGAATATGCATCACACATTTGGATGCCATTGGAAGCCACGCATATTGATGAAATTGAAAAAGTGCAGAAGAGATTTTTGCGGTATCTCTATGTGGTTAAAAATAATATTTACCCATATATGGTTCCTTACAGGGATATGCTTGTTAGTTTTGAGATAAAGTCATTGGTGGAAAGAAGGAATAATCAGGCTGTGATATTTTTGTTTTATATTTTAAACAACCTAAAGTATAAGGATTGTAATTTAATTAACTATGTCTCCTTAATTGTACCAAAGATTAACTTAAGAATTATGAAAAACAAGAAATACTTTGGTACTGATCCTAGTTATAATATGTCACCATTTAATCGCATGATGACAGTTGCGAACCAAGCACTTAATGAGGTCCAGGTAGATCTTTTTAATGTAACTTTCAATCAATTGAAGGCCCTTTTAAATTAGTCATATATGTTTATATTGTGTACTCTATCTTTATTTTTGTGTTTTACACTTCGCTGTTTTAACTTTACATGTAATTACTATTTTTGGTGTTTGTAAAGTAATGAAATAAATAAATAAATAAATGAAAGGTATTTTTAAAAAAGATGATTTTTAACCAAATATTTGCCCGCTTGAAACCTAGATATTTACGTTTAAAGTAAGAGCTAATGGTAATTATTTTTTTTGAATGATTATAAAAAAATACTCCCTATAAAGACCTTATTGTGTATTGGACCAATAATAAAGTATTTTTTTCTCTATACGGTGGTATCAATATCTCGATTTTTGATGATAGTGCCCTTTTGGACAGTCCAATTTTGTATTACCTCCGGAATAAGAGTTACCTTGTCAAGTACTTTCATCCCTAAAAAAATCAGCTTGTGACAAAAAAGTGGGAGGTAAATCGATTTTTAAAGCGAATATTTTAATCCATCCACTCTACTATCAGGGATTGTAGTCTCTAGGTATATTGAAATAAATTTCAGCTTTATATCTATAATAGAAAAAAAGTTAAGACCTTTCAACAATATTATATTTTCCACTGGCTTCACAAATAATTTACCACAAAATTCAATAATAGATTATCGCATTTATTAACAAGTGTGATCAGTGAATAAAATCTTGTTCATGCTTGTCTATAGTCAGGTCGGCAGGACGCGCTGTATTTCACCCAAAATTTTGGTGGAAAATCGAAGAATTATTTGTATTTCAATCTATTTATCCGTATCTAATTATATTTATTTATATTTAAATGTATTTATTTGTATTTAAATGTATTTATTTCTATTTAAATCTATTTATTTGTATTTAAATCTATTTATTTGATTACGCATGTATTTTTGTATTTATTTGTATTTAAATAAATACATTTTGTGAATTTGTACACCTATTTATGGAGTGACCTGCCCCTCGTATTTATGGCCATTTTCACCAACTATTTTAGGGCAGCCTTTACGATAAGTATTCCCTAAACGGACATTTCTCCATGGAAAACTGTCAGTTTAGGGAATACTTATCGTTAAGGCTTCCCTAAAATAGTTGGTGGAAACGGCCATTACAATCCTTAAGTAATTTATTGTTGCCAATTTAACAATTTTTGACAACTAATTATAGAGAACTGTAATTTTTACAATAATATTTTTTTTTGCAATCACAGATATCTGTTATTTTAACATTCGACGTTGATTCATGCATAAAAATGGGAATGGAATAACAAATAGTGTTTTTATCCGGTTTGCCTACCTGAGAGTTTATCAGACACTGAATAAACTGGCCCTAAATTTGGTAAAAGTATAATTTATTTTTTAATATTAACGTTTTCAAGGATTAAGAGCCGGTAGTCACCTTCTGAAAAACTATCAGGTATGCAATCTAACAGACAAAAACGCAATCTGTAATTTCATTGGTTGGCAATAGAATTCTGAAGGGTAAATTCATCTTGCAGATAGTTACCAGCAATTTTATCTGAAGATGAATAAACCTGGCCTTAAAATTAAAAATCAGGGAATTAGATAAATCCAATTTGGTCAGAAAATTCCACCAAGAAATACTGAAAGACTATTTGAGAATGAATCAAAGTATATTTTCATCCATTGTCGCAAAAACTCTACTCTTTATCAAGGTAAATATTGTGCATAATCACCACTAATTACTTAATAAAAAGGTAATTATCTATAAACAAAGTCTGAGAAGAAAACCCAAACAATTAATATTTTCACTGTCAAAACTTTACAAGGCAAGGTAAAATAAAAGCGGTCAGGGACAAACAAAATCAAATCTTATTTCCAGTTCAAATATAGGTATTACGAATCATAAATTCTAATAATAAAATCATTAAAAATAAATAGAAAAAAAGATTAATTTACCCATGACTAGGGATCTGGCCATAAATTATTATTATCCATTGATTTGTTGTCGATCATTCTCGATGATAAGGATAACATTGTAGTTTTTCCAGGTTTTTTAATTTAATAGATAATCACCAAAACAAACAAAAACATTACAAAATTTCTTTTGTTTATTTATTTATTTATTATTATTCAATTTGGATTAGGTTAGAAAAAGAAGAAGGAGTGATTATCGATATTCGATACTATATATCGATACGAATTTATCATCATATCGATAATGATAACTCTGTTCAAACAGACATGAGAACCGGTAATTAATTTCTTCTGTGAAAACACCTTTTCTACGTTTGAAATCCACGAAAAAATTAACTCACTAGCACAGCCTGAATCGCAAGCATTCCATCGAGGTCTGCGAGTGACGTCATCATTAAAAGCTGCTTATGATGAGGTCACTCGCAGACTCAGAATTAGGTTAGTTTCGGTTAGACGTAAAGTCCGTCGATTTTTATCTGATACTCGAAAGGAATGTGAGCTGGTGGCACCCTACATTAGAACTCCAATGGTCACCTGACGTCACACATGTTTTTGCCATATATACTTCACCCCCTCGCTCCTCATACCGTAAGTGTCAGATGAAAATCGATGAACAATAATAATTGAAGTATTATTTTTAATATCTATTTCGGACAATTGAACAGATCAACAAGAGTCAGTGCACATGGAACAGTCAGAGTTGAATTACCAAAAACCCAAAAGGCGATTTCGGCAAGCTTTGGTTGGTATACCATTTGGTTAACCAATTGGTATCTGCAACGTCATAGTAATGACGTAAGATACCATTTTGTTCCGAATTCGTTTGGTAGGTCATGAGAGAGGGGAAGAGACGAGCCTTAACCTAACTTTGTGTTGTTCTTCTAGTTTCGGGAGCCACTAGATACTGACTGCACTGACTTAAATCTATAATCACTAATCAGCACTGTCTAGACAGTACCTTTGAGTAACCTATTGGCTAACTCAGCGTTTTCTGTAAATTTAAAGCTTATTCCTTATTCCATAATCCATTCAGCAAAAAAGTTACCCCATATCTGTCGTTCAAAGCCATTTTTCAAATGATCGTCAAACATTGGCAGTCAAAATATACGAGAAAACACGAAGTGAAAACGAAAAAAACAAACATATTTGTTAAAAATTTCAAATTAATCAAATTATAATGAACTTCCATTTATTTACATTTCCCAGAGCAGGACAAAACGAAAATAGACGTAGATAGCACTATACCAAATAGAAGAACCGTGCTGCTGACCACGGTATCCTATTTGACAGACCAAAAAGGATACCAAAGTCATGGTGACGACATCATTTTCGTATTCGAAATTGGTTGGTATGCATCTGACAGACCAAACAGGGTACCAAACCATGTACCAAAGCTTGCCGAAATCTCCTAAAATTAATTTTTAAATCAGCCTACTCTTATATTAAATAATGTTAGTAGCATATTAGAGTAGTTCGAACGGTAACAATTAGAGCAGTGCAAACAATAGTCACAGATGATCTAAAAATTTATCGAAAACTTATTCCGAACTCTTTTATTGTCAAATGAGCTCTAAACTAGATTACAATAAAAAAAATTCTGAATTACTGTCCTAGGACACATTGAATTTACTCTATGTTTAGCTCGTGATTCAGTTAGAACCGGTTCTAAACTATATAAAGTTCAACTAAAATCTGTTTTTTTTTTAAAGATAATTCCCCAAGTCAAAAATTTAGTAACTATGTTGGCAACACAAGTCTTTTCTACATAAAAAATTTGATAGCATTGACAGTTTTACATAGTATTGCCAACCTAATGTCAGTTTGACTTTTATCTTAAAAAAAAAACGCACTTTAGAATCAGTTGCAATCGTAGCAGATCGTTTCTTTGTGTTCTAAAGATCTATTTTAGATTAGTTCACGATCAAAAAATTCTAATATTAGTGCCCTGGAACCTGGAACACATCAAATTTACTCTTTTTTATTCGCAGTCCATTTAGAACCGGTTCTAGTTCAACTCTGAATTGATGCTAATTTGGAATAGGTTAAGGGAGGATTTTCATGCATCCGTTTTTCCGTCGAAATATGTCCGAAAAGTCTTCTATTTTGACATATTTATATACGATTATGTCAGAATAAAATGTTAATATTTCGTCGGAAAAACGGATGCATGAAAATCCTCCCTTATTCAGACTTGCGCTTGCATATTTGTTCATATCAAACATATAAGGTCTGTTTCTCACTCTAAATCATTCCATTTGCATTAATTATAATTCTATTTGAATTCCTTCTGTTCCCTCTGCACTAACTCGGTTCTGTTTGCACTGCTCCGATTGTTACTTTCCGAACTACTCTGAGCCGCTTTCCAGTATGCACATTGGCGCGCTCCAGAGCACCTCGGGGGCGTCACGCACTAGATTTGTACCGTTCCAGAGCCGCTTTCCAGTGCCTAAATTGTTAGAGTATCCTGAAGTGTGACGCTCTTGAACTGTTCGACATAAGCAGCGCTGGAACGCTCTCGTCTTAACCCCCACCATTTCGGATTTCAGGAGCAATGAAACACAGGCAAAAAGGTTGGTGCACGAGGGGGCAGGGGATAACAGAATTGAGTAGCTCAAGTGTACGACACTCTAAGCACTGGAACGCGCAAAGCAATTGTGGAGCACTCCTGAGCTGCTCAGGAGTAACTCAAATGGGTCACTGGAAAGCACCTCAGTAACATGGCGTGAGACGCCTGTCTTAGTGTCAAATATGTCAAATTTTAAAAATAATTATTCTTAGGCGATTTCGGCAAGCTTTGGTTGGTATACCATTTGGTTAACCAATTGGTACCTGCAACGTCATAGTAATGACGTAAGATACCATTTTGTTCCGAATTCGTTTGGTAGGTCATAGGAGAGGGGAAGAGACGAGCCTTAACCTAAGTTTGTGTTGTTCTTCTAGTTTTGGGAGTGACTAGGTACTGACTGCACTGACTAAAATGTATAATCACTAATCAGCACTGTCTAGACAGTACCTTTGAGTAACTCAGCGTTTTCTGTAAATTTAAAGCTGTTAAAGTTACCTCATATCTGTCGTTCAAAGCCGTTTCTCAAATGATCGTCAAACATTATTTGGCAGTCAAAACATACGAGAAATCAGGAAGATGAAGGCGAAAAAACAAACATATTTGTTAAAAATTTCAAATTATTCAAATTCTAATGAACTTCCATTTATTTACATTTTCCAGAGCAGGACAAAACGAAAATAGACGTAGATAGCACTATACCAAATAGAAGAACCGTGCTGCTGACCACGGTATCCTATTTGACAGACCAAAAAGGATACCAAAGTCACGGTGACGACATCATTTTCGTATCCGAAATTGGTTGGTATGCATTTGACAGACCAAACAGGGTACCAAACCATGTACCAAAGCTTGCCGAAATCGCCTCTTGTTTGTGCAGTTTGTTTTTTTATTTATCAAAAATGAAAGAGAATCAAAACTATATATTTTAAAATGTTCAATCTTGAGATATAACAAGAAATAAATAGATAAATAGCCACCCGCAGATGTGACAGCCGATAGGTTGACGCGTACGTACAGCTCGGGGGCTCCACGCCCCGAGTAGCTCCGGGCGTCACACTCCCATACTGGCCATACTGGAAAGCGACTCTGATATGCTATTGAACAATGAATTTATTAACTATAACAACAAGCTGATTTTAAAATTAGTTTAGAGTTTTTAATAATTCTACTTTGATTGTTCCAAATATACTGACTCTTCTTTATCTGTTCAATTCTGCGAACTGCATTGTTCTAATTCTGTTTCACTTGCACTGACTTGATCTAAGCATTCCATCTGCAATAATTCTATTTGAATTTCTTCTATTGTTAGAGTTACTCCAAGTGTTCTAATTGTTTTAATTTCTGTTTCATCTGCACTAACTCTGTTCTGTTTGCACTGCTCTAATAATTACTGTTTGAACTACTCTAATATGCTATTGCACATTGAATTTATCAACTATAGTTGTTTTCTTGCGGTGGAACTGGCTCGATTCGGTGCAATTCGGTTTGAACCTGTCCACTCTTGCGTTGAATCAGTGACGTCACGTTGAATTTGGTTCAAAAAAGTTATAAGACTGTGGTTCAAACTTTCCATTTTCTCGAGTTCACAAGTGATGACGTCATCTACAAATTGGCTTAAGCCATAGTTCGAACCATTCGTCTCGCAAGAAAACTTCTTTGATATAAATCGAGTTGCAAATTGTATTAGAACTGTTCTGTTATTGTTCTAAGTTTATCTAGGACTGATTCCATTGTTCTCAAATCGTTTGAGAACAGCTCCGAACATAAATTTTGTTCTAAAACAGTCATATTTTGTCTCAAGATTCTCATATAAATCAAATTCCTTATTGTTTTGGAATTGCTCTATTACTTTTTTTACTCTGGAACACATTTTTAATGGATCTTGAATCATTTGGAATAATTGACCTTTTGTTTCGACGCCATATTGCGGTGCGCGAACATAGTTGCCAAAACAAGAAAACCAAAAATTAATAGCAGGCTGTTAGTGTTAACTAGATATTTTATTATTTCTATTCTGCTCAATACAAGCTAAAATTGATGGCTTTTCTTTCTAAACATTCGTAATAGGCGGCAAATTTAAATTTTAAATGTAATTTATTCACTAACTTTGGATTTTAAAGTTGACAGAACGCTAGTAATTTTTTTTTTCTACTGTTAGCAACTATGTTCGCGCACCGCAATATGGCGTCCAAACAAAAGGTCAATTCTGAACGATTAAGTTACCGTTTGGCTATACAGAGTGGAGTAAAATGGAATTCACTCCAAAAGTTCCAGTTCGAAAATTAGAATTTTGACACTTTGGTGTTTATTTGAATGGAGCAAACTTAGTGCAAAAGACTTCAAGTTCGGTTACAATAACTGTTCCAGAACAATTCATTTTTGAAATAATTTCTCAGTTAAGATTATGGGAACGAATGCAAATTGAACAGTTTCGAGTAATTTGCACCACACGGGTGCAAAAATTGTTACTCTAACTGACACAAAGTGCTGCACTGAAGTTGGCTTGTTTACTTTAACTACTCCGTACATTCAGAAAGAGTATTACTCCATAATTGTTTACTCAATCAGTGCACTCTAATTATCACTCCAACCATTCGAGCATGGCTTTTTACAATAATTACAATAATCCTAACAAAGTTACACCAAGGTTGAGTTCGGCTTATTCACTCCAATTACTCCGTCTGTATTCTTGCCTCCTTTCACTCCAATAAAAAATATGGAATTTACACTATTTCCTCCAATATCCAAATCCGAAGAGTTTCAGAGTGGAAGGTGTCAAAAGAGTGGCCACCATTTTTGAAATAAATCTTTTCCTGATTCGTTTGCTCCGAAAACAAACAGAATCAAATAGGAGTATTATTCGTAAACGCGCTGCCGACTTTTTTACTCCAGGCTCACTTGTAAACGTTTGCTCTTTTTACTCTAAAGTGATCAAAAAACTGTTCCGAATCGGTATTAGGCGATTTCATTAGTTTTAATATAGAAATAGGAGATTCTGGAGTATGTACTTTAAACTCTAATTTTATTAGCTCAATGATCGGAGTAAAAAGAGTAAGTTTATTTGTGTGCAATAAACTTTTTTTTTTAATTCTCGAAGTTCCATTTACTCGCAGCTTTGTATAACTAATGTGAACATAGTTGTTACTCTATCTACATTAAATAACCGAATTCGAATAATAAGAGTACTCACAGAGTAGTTAGAGTAATAAGCTTTTTCACTTTCTTTACTCCAAATACCCGAACAGAGTAGAAATATGTTAAAAAAAAATGCAATGCCGAACGACTCGCTCACTCTGAATACTCCGTAAACACTCTAAACGCTTTTTCTAAATAAAATGTGATTCAAGAGCCTAGACTGGGATCACGACAAGTAGAATTCTACTTTCATGACGTCAGATTGCCTAGCAATCGTCATCATCGCTTGTACTGTACGCAATAAATAGGTCGCGGCTGATGTTATGAGTCTACTTGTTGTGATTCCAGTACTTAACTAAAATTCAAACGACTGTAATACTCCATCAAAATGAGTATTTGAAACAGAGTACTCTACTATATTTACACTAAAAAGCCATTTTCGAACAGTTGGAGTTATCGGTCAGATACCATTTTGGAGTAAGATTATTGGCGTTCGCCATAAAAAGAGTAGTTCCATTCTCAAAGTTTCAAGTGAGCGTAGCGTTTTCGAATTGCCTTTTTGGAGTCGCGATAAATAGAATTCTATTTGTTTTGACGTAAGATAAATGGAAACGTCAAAAATAATGAAGTTCCTAAAATAGAATGCTATTCAAAATAATTCGAGCTCTTGGAGTAGATATTTGAAATGTTGGAGTAGAGTCGGAACATTGTTAAAGTCACTCTCAAAAAGTTTTTCTTCAAAGGAAAAGATTTTTTAGAGTAAGTAGAGTAATAATTATCAAAGCTAGAATCGATTCCAACGTCAAAATTTGACAGTTTCAAGTACGAAAAGCGTTTTCGGATTGCTTCTTTGGAGTCGCGATAAATAGGATTCTATTTGTTTTGACGTAAAATAAATAGAAATGTCAGAAATATTGAAGTTACTAAAATAGAATTCTATTGAAAATAATTTGGGCTCTAGGAGTAGATATTTGAAATGTTAGAATAGAGTCGGAACATTGTTCTTAGAACTGAAGTCACCATAAAAAAGTTCCTCTTCAACAGAAAAGATTTAGAGTAAATAGAGTAATAAATTGTCAAAGCAAGAATTGATTTTAACGTCAAAATTTTGACAGTTTAAAGTAAGAGTAGCGTTTTTAGATTGCCGCTTTGGAGTTGCGATTAATAGAATTCTATTCGTTTTGACATAAGACAAATAGAAATATCATTATTGCTAAACGCAACCCTGCTATGTTGCTTGTAGTGGTGACGTCACTCGCAGGCCTTGCCGTCTCGAAATTTTGCGAACATTCGTCATAATGAGAATGAGCAATCCTGTTAGTTTACTATTCTGTGGTTAGATCTGGGCGGTGACGTCACAGTTATCTGCGAGACTGCTCCGAGAGCAATTATAATCCAAACGAGGACACACCACTTGAAATCAATAGCCAAACATACAATATTTGATCAAACTCATCGAATTTGTCAGAGCAAGAAAGAGCGCTCCGAGCGAGATTTCAAAGCGTTCTATTGTACTAGTTGAATCGTAAAATCACGCCGAGAGCAACGCTCTGTTTCAAGCCGAACATGTGAATAGTTTTTTGATCAACCGGGTGCAGTTTTGATGCAAAAGTCGAAAGCGCTATGTGACATTTGTCAATTATCAGCTGTTTACACACGTCAAAAACAACAAACCTAACCTCTAAAAATTAATTTTATGAAATTTATTTAAACTTTTTTTTACAACTTCTCGGTCCTTTTGGCTCGATTTCCTTTATACAAAATTTACAATGTGGTTCGAAATTTTGCCCAGTTTCGCTATCATCACGGTTCTTATGGCCATGCCTCACGCCTCGGCTTATGTAATCAATAAATTGGTAGGTACTCCACAACCAAAGTTCACAGGTTGTCTGCTAATGGGTAACCTGTGATGACGCATCTGGGGTGCCTTATGGAGATTTGCATTAAGTTGAGGCCTCCCAGATGACGTCATAAAGTTATCAGGCAATGTTTCTCTGTCAAACAGCCTTGCTCCAGAACCAAAATACTAGAAATTGTTGAAAAGTTTTCTTTTGGTAATTCTAAGCCAACTTTCTTTATTTTGTAGGTGGTTGGTAACATGTACAGGCGTAGCCTCCTCAATAAAGAGCAAAAAGATCAATATTTGAGAGATTGGAGGATCAGTGGGGATGCCTATGTTACCCATGGTTTGGAAGCCATTCCAGATGAATGAGGATTTTACCTTTACCTTTTTGAAAATGTAGTATACTAGATTTTAAGAATAAAATATATACACTTTATTTAAGCACAAAATTATATTGTTTAATTTGAGGGAGTGGCTACTGCACTGTCTAACAGACAGTGGTGACTGGAAACTATCTGCACTGACCAGACAGTGCTGACTAAAATCTATACAACAATCAACACTGTCTAAACAAAAAAACCCATTTGCACTGTCAAGATAATTTCATTAATTAGTTATATTTGTATTGAGCGCGCAAAATAACTGTGCAAAGTAGTACTTTTCCGTGCTCAAAGTTACACTTTTCCGCACTCCGTCCGTGTAAAGTACTACTTTGCGCACACTCGTAGGAAAAATGTCGTTTTTATTTTGCATGCGATAATGTGGCGATAACGACATTTATTTATTGTGTGAATATTTGGCCTCCCTCTGACCTGTAAAAATTGACACTCCCAGACAAGGATAATACACACCTCTATTGCTCCAGGATAGCCTTTCCTCATAAGGCCTGTATGTAACAAATCTGAAGCCCCCATCACGCCAAATCACCAGTTGTGACGTAGACAGCATGTCATTCCTCGCCTTGACGTAGACTGTTTGCACCACAGAATACGATTTCGTGGGTTTTTCTTTGCTTATTATGTTAATGAAAATTAAATAATATTTTTCATGATAAATTTAAATTCATAAATTCTAAATTACGATCTCTAGTGCAAACAGCTGACGACTTGTTAATGACGTCGGAAATGGTGACATACCAATATGGCGGCAATTACCAAAAACGAGGCCGATAAGCAATCCTCAGTAGTCTGTTTTATCTTTGTATTTTAGGTACCATTAAAGAAACACTCATTTTGAGCACTTAATACAAAAATCAATTATAAATTTGGAAAGTGCAGTAGTCACTTCTTTATTAATTTAAATACAAGTCATTCCTATTATGATTTAACATTGGAAGCCCTCGGGTTCATAGTTGCAGTGGTTGGGTTTGGTACCGTTAATTTGAACGCTGGTCCAGTGCCAGTTATCGCAGGCACCTGAAAATGAAAAGGGTTTAATTAGGAATTTTGCAAACAACTTTAAACAAAACTATTTTTGTCTTCTGGCAGTTATACAGGGTGTTCGTTTTAAGTGATACCACATTGCTATTTCATAAACGTTAAGAGGGACGATAATTATTTTTTGAAAATATGTTTTAACCTAATAATGTAAATGCTTTTTTATATCATTCTTTGTTGAAACATAACTTAAATGCCTTTTTGGATAGGATAGAGTCGTTTTTAATTCAAATTGGTGAAAATTCTAGAATAACACAGGGATATTTTGCTCGAAAAATGGCACATCGGCAACGTTGCATTTACGAACAGCCAATCAGATGATCTTATGACTTATACTTATGTGATCCACAAGTGGATCCACACCTTTGGTCACGACCAATGAATTCCATTATTCTTTTCGATTTTTCTTCGCGGGTTATATGATGTGATTTGAAATTTTTGAAAAAAATCAAACTTTTTATTTCTTTATTGAATGATAAAACAAGAGCGAGTTGCCAGCTATGCTAGAAGGAATTTTGTATCAAATATCCAAGTCAAGGACTGTATCCAGGGTTGCCAGACGTCCCGATTTAGGCGGGACAGTCCCAATTTTTGGAAATATTTCCGAACCGTTCCGATTCACTAGTTGGATGCCAAATGTCCCGATTTTTGGAAATGTAAGAAAATATATTCCGATTTCCGGCCGAAAACACTCTTTTAAGCCGTGTTCGTTACTTATATTGTTTTTTTTTGTAACTTTTTTTTGTAACTTTTTTTTATCCGCTGATGTCTCTATTTTTCGAAATGAAAATCTGGCAACCCTGGATATACCGTTGTAATTTTTGCCAGTTTTGATAATCGGTCATTTTTAATTGACGTGTTTAAATTTTTATCCAGTTTTTTCTCGAATTTTCCGATTTTTCAGGGCTTATTGAGTCGGAAAAACCGATTTAAAATACGAAGTTTTGGATTTCCTACATTTTGTACCAAAAATTTCCAATTTTCCAATGGGGTAAGTGAGAAAAACTTTAGTTTTATCAAGTAGGCTTTGGAATGTTGGTTTTTCTTTGGATTTTCCGCTTTTTCAGGGCCTGTTTAATCGGAAAAAGGTGGTTTTAGAGCAGGGCTTTAAGTTTGCTCCATTTTTTTTATTAAAAACTTTAATTTTTTAACCTAAATTATATCCTACTTTATCTCCCTCTTTATCTTACTCACTATTAAACAGGCCTTGGAATGTAATTTTCATTAAATTTTATTAAAAATAAGTTTCCATCGTATTATTTTGGGAACTTATCATTTTATAAACATTAGTATTAATTGATTATTCAACTAAATTTAAAACAAAAAACCATTTAAAATCTATTTTTTTCTTATTTGAGATGTGGCAATGTCGCTTTCAACACTGGCGTAACTAGCCATCTGACCTGGGGGGGGGGGCCTAGGGTGGGCCTGGCAGAGGCGCCGATTTTTGAAAGTCCTCATAGGTGCAGGATAATATTTTTATAAATTTGTTTATAGGGGGAGGGGGAGCTCGCCTCAGGCGAATTTTTTTTTCCGGATGCCACGCTTAAAAGCGTGTTTTTTATAGTGTATATATTACGGTTAATATGCAAACTTGGCTAGTTTGTAAACTAGTTGGATAGTTTAAAAACTAACCAACCCTTTGGCTATTTTGATAAAAAACACAATTTTTACTAAAATAGCAGCTAACTAACCAAAAGTCTTGGCTAATTTGCTTGAAATTATTGAGAAAACTAAATTAGCTGGTTAGTTTGTAAACTAACCAACCAATTTTCTGGCTAATTCATAAATAAAGTTTAATGTTCATGGCATTCCTTATTCGATAAATTAGAGATCAACAACAACAAAAACACCTTAGGGTATTATAAGCGGGCGTTATAGATCATAACGCCCGCAAAAGCGGGCGTTATGAATCAGGTTGTTATAGGTGTGTTAACGTATTTCGTTTCCTAGGTATTATGGATCTATAATAGTAAAGTAGAAAATAAAATTATTTTTTTCTTATACCGTGGGGAAGGTACTCACTTTACGCCCTTTTCAAAAGACGTGAAATTTCACTTCATGCACTTGTACGTGAAGTAATTCACTTTACATACAAGTGCGTGAAGTAGGTAATGTCGTCAATGACAGATGTCGACAATGTCATTTTTTTCTAGTAAATTATTTCACTTCACAAAGTATCCGTCTAATTTTTTTTTTTTACACATATTTTATCGGTAGTAGAATTTTTTTATATGCAATACGTGTGTAGAGTGCAAGGATGATACACACTACTACTACAGACTACAGGATGCCCTATCCTGATAAGGCCTGTGTGTAACAAATCCCCCCTATCCCCCCAAGCCAAACAACCAGTTGTGACGTAAGCAGCATGACGTTTCTCGTCTTGACGACCTTGACGTAGGCTGTTTAAATAGGGAGCAGTCAAATTTCGTGTACCAGGCCATGCGATCTCTCATTGCCAGTTATAAACCACATAATAACTCTTTTCCGTTTTTCTAGATGTCGCTAACAACCACAGAATTGTCAAAATTGGAAAATACCAGCACATCAAGAACACGTCCGATGTCGATAACATTGACATGAGATTGACATGTCAACATATGACAATATGCCAAAATATTCATTTGATCATAACTAATAATTCATAATGTTTTTTGTTCGCCGGTCTTGCATTTCATCTTTCTTTGTGTTGTCAAGTGTTCTTAAGTGATTTCAAAGTTGTTTTGTGTGTTTCAAGAAGAACTTCAAACTTTATAGATTGGAAGATCTATTTTTATCTTTGTTGATTAGATAAATGACAGGATCAATTAAACATCAATCAGAACTTTGAATAAATATGTTAAGGATCCCTTAACCATCGATAAAGAAACTGTCTTTTGATCTAATTAACAAATTATCAATTAATTTAAGCAAACATTAATGCCACAAAGTCTAGAATAAACGAATTTGAACAGACCGACAGTAATGCGAACAGGGTGCCATCTATCATAAAAAAGCCTATGTAAAGTAGGTGTCTGTAGCATCGATGCAAAACCAGTAAATAGTGATTTTCCGATGTGGTAGATGGCGCTGGCTTGGCTCAATTTTGTTGACAACAAAATTTAAACTGAGATTCCATTCTCGACAGTTTATATAGTATTTATCTCTGTCGTGTACGAAATGTACTCGAATGGTTTCGAAAATCGCACCCCAGAAGCGAGGCCGATAACAGTGGCGACGCGTGACTTGCACTCTGGGGGGGGGGGGGGGTAATGAGAAGATGCGAGCCCTCGCTAACGCGCCGCAGGCGAAATTTTTTGGAACTTCAATATTATTATTTATTTTCTTTTGGGCCTCGTGATTTTTCCCTTGATTATTGGATCCTGGGGGGGGGTAATTACCCCCATTACCCCCCCGACGCGACGCCCCTGGCCGATAAGCACTCCTTAGAGTGTGTATTCTCCTTGTATAGAGTAGTGAACTTTTTTGCACTCATGTGATTGTCGCACTCGCCTTCGGCTCGTGCGTCAGAATTCACATTCGTGAAAAAAGGTTCACTTTACACACTTGTTGCATAAATAGCTATTTCAGCGAAGTCCGGATTTTGTCCGGATTTTGTCCGGATTTCTTGACTTCTTTGTCTTGAATTCCGAAAAACCTTAATGGAAACCCTATCCATATCGAACTTCTAGGTTTCATTTTCGTGGAAATTTCCTCAAAACTAGTCAGAACTAATATTAAAGGCCGGTTTATTCATCTTCTGATAAACTGTCAGGTTTTCAATCTGACGGATAAAAACGCAATCTGTAATATCATTGGTCCGCCAGTTATCCGCCGACCAATAGAATCTTAGAACAGTACATTAATCTTGTAGATAGTTACCAGCAAGTTTATCTGAAGATGAATACCTAAACCGGGCCTAAATATGTAAGTTAAATTATTAAATATTTCTTCGTACACACTCTGCACTCTACACAGTGCAGAAACAATGAATTACTGAAATAACTTATGGCCATGGCGCTTCTAGTTCGTAGAAAGATCTAGTGCGAAGAAAATGTGTTTGTGTTTCTATTTGTTTCTTTAACAGGCTGAGATAAAGAGCTAGAAATACACTATGTACTCAGTTGCGCCAGTGCGTATATTAAATCTAATCTACTAATCGAAAACGCCTATGAGCTCGGGGTATTTACCGGATTTACCCGGTCATTATTCTTGAAACAGGGGAGCAGCGTTCCCAAGAAAACGAGTGTTCCGTCTTTGTTACTTATATTGGAGCAGCCTATATTATCAGTTGCATATCATTGAGTAAGACGGAACACTCATTCTCTTGGAAACGCTGCTTCCCTGTTTCCCTTTCAAGAATAAGGACCCGGACTCACTCTTTTCTGTTTTTCATTTCAACCTTATCTCACTATGAACCTAGTGCCATCTGTATGTGCAAGGTGATAAATTTAAAAATTGGGGGTAATCGAGGGGGTAATTTCCCAAAAAATTCTCGAAAATAACCGTATATTCTCATACATTCTAGAAACTAAAAAAATTATAAATTCTCAAGAATTTAAGTCCGAAGAATATTCTCGGTAAATTCTCTGTTCTCGATAGAAGTTCTTTGGAGATTATTCCACTCATGTGTTAGAAATCCCATAAGACAAGTGACGATTTTCAGAATCTCAGCGAAAATTCTCTTTTCCATTTGTTTAACTAGAGAGAATTACAGCGATAATTCTCCCATGTTATTGTATACATGGTTGTTATGCTAATTTTTGATACAAACAAACGATTCCTGATAGCAACCATTTATTTGTATTGATTGTTAAGATGTTCAAATCGTTTAATACATATTTATTTCCATATTTTTTGCATTCTCATACGTGAAATACTCCTCTAAATACCACTTGAGCTTTAAAATGAACCAGATAATTTTTCACTCATGCGTGTTTTCTCTGCAAATTTCACTCGTCCTACGCAATTGTAAAAAATTATCGGTAATTTTGAAGCTCTCGTGGTATTATCCCCGAATATTCTCAGGGCCATCTCTACTGATACTACCACACGGAACGGAATGACCATTAAATACGTTTGTACTTTCACAGTCCCTACAAGAGCTCCGAGCACCCATGAGAGGTTGCTCATGGGAGCACCTGTCCTAATGCCCCCATGTAGTTGGGGCCAGTGGCCTAGGGCCTGTTATTGTGACTTATTGGAATCTTTAAAAAAGAAGAACAGTGCAATTATAGGCGATTAGCTGACTAAACCGGGCTTGAATCACTTACCTAGCTAACTCAGCTTATCAGCCACTGTATAGTATATTTCAGCAACACCGATTCATAGATTCACAGGAAAAATATTTAGTCAAACTCCCAACTAATCTGATATTGCTAATGCTAATTTAATGGCTTTGGTATACTCTATCACTTCTGCACAGTTTTTTCTGGGGGGGGGGGGGGGCAGGCCAGGCCCCCCTGTAGTTACGCCACTGACGAAGTGGCAGTGTCCGTTTTGCCACGTAATAACCGTTAAAGCAAGAAAAGGAAAAACCGAAAGGGCGCTACAATACCCTTCTCTAGGAAGGTCCAAACTTGTCTTCCTTGGTGGAAGATAGTTGAAGTGAAGGTATTTAGATTGCGAGCTTCACTCTGGACAGTCGGGTTGCTTCTCAATATTCTTAACTAAGTGTCCCCCCCTTAACGAGAATTTTAATAAATGAAACATTTTTATATGTACAATACCGAGTTTTAATTATCTAAGTACGAAATTGGAGCCCGCGGAAAACTCCAGGTAGGTAGGTACTTAACATTCGGGTCATCGATTAACTCCTGATTCCCAACAGTTTGTATAATAACGACGACGAAAATGGATTGTACGAAAGATTTATTCTTTTCTAACGTTAACCTTATTAACCTTTACAAATCATGTATTAGAATAATAATCAACAAGATTTATTTCAATTTGAAAATTAAACAAATTAGACACGAATGTGGTATTGATAAGTACAAAACATTATATTATGTTTCCGCCTTTTTTGATGTAGCAATAGTCCAAGAAACGGGGATCTGAAGAGAGGGTTCACCTCAACATAATAAGAAGTTAATATTTTTTTGGGGGGATCGGTCCATTTTAATATGCTAAATAACATAATAAGTTTGCGACCTTTTACTTCCATAGGGTTTTTAGTTAGGAGTGGTTTTTACGGGTAATTTGCGGTTTATGGAGAACGCTGCTCAAAGGGATCGTCCAATAACAAAAAGTTTCAAATGATTGTTATAGCTAAAGTTTTTTGCTATATAAAACTCCGCAACAGCACCACTTTATCTTCTATAGGTTTTTTTTTCGCAGCGTCTTGAATAGTACCATGTTTTTGTTCAAGGTAACTGAATCAACGTTTCGCCTGTTTGCGCGCATTTGTTGCAGCAGCGGCCGAATGCATAATCCGATTTTAATTGTTGAAACACATTATTGCTAATGAAATGCACTCTCCAATGCTTTTTTGTTCGAATTTTTTGCTTGAAAATTAAGCAAGCACGGACTTGCTTAATGTGCGAGGAAGTTGTAAATTGCATCGAAATTTACCCCTTTCTTGCATTCACTGTAATTTCTAAACGGGGCCAAATATTTGGTGACAGTTTTCGACAATCGGCAGCCCATTTATTCCTCTCATAAAGCCCCAGCGGATTTTTTTCTTCCTTAATTAGTTAATGACTTATTGACCTGAACACGTCGCGCGGAATTTTTTAAAAAATCAAAAAAATCCAAAATTGTTATACAGCGCTGAAATATGGTACCTACGATAGCTTTATTTATTGTTCTTATGAACATACTGCAATTTCAATTTCTCCACATGACGGCTGCAACACCCAAAAACATAGAATACGTAAATTCACGTAGGTTAGTTTCTACGTGTGTTTTTATAGGGTTAGGGGTTAATATTCTAGGATTAATAAAATCAAAATCCAATTACTCACCTTCAGCACACAAAATAAACACAGGCACCGCAGTATCAGCAACTCCACCCCTCACATCAATAAAATTCAAATTATCAATGGGCACGTTGCCTACTACATCACCTCTTGGATAATTTTGCTGGATTTGCACACCAAACCGTTCCACACAATCGAACGTAATATTTTTATACGTTATATCCGAAATCAATCCTGGACCACCATCATTATGAGTCTTAATATGAATACCATTCATTCCTTTTACCAAATACGAGTCCTTTATTGTTACATTTTTAAGAGTGTTGACTGAAATATCGTCTGGGCTGAAGCCTACCGATATACTCAGTCCGTGGCTACCGTGACACCATAGATTTGATACTGTTATGTTGGCTCCTGGAAAAAGTTTGTTATAGTTTAGTAAATTTTCCAGTTTGTCAAAGTTGAATTAGTTAATGTCAAAAAATAAATAACCTATGAAATGTTACATACTTGTCTCATCAAGAACAAAAATATTTCAATATATTTTTGGAATAATTCGTCTATTTTAGAAATCTTTATAAAATGTTCCAAAAATGTTTCAACATGTTTTTTTTTTTTTAATTTACAATGTATATTTTAGAAATGTTTATAAAATGTTCCAAGAATATTTATAGAATGTTTTAAAAATGTTTCAACATGTTTTTTTTTTTGGAAAATTTATGAAGAATATTCGGGGAATGTTTATAAAATGTTTTGGGAATATTCAGAATGTTTCAGTTATGTTCATAGGAATTTTTTGATATTTTATGAGAATTTCGTGTAATTTAACAAGAATTTTTCAAAATTCCACTGAAATTTTTATTATAGAATGTTCCAGGAATGTTCATAAATTGCACACCAGAATTTCCTAAAAATTCTTCGGAATTCCACTAAAAATTCAATTAGTTTGAAAGAAATTTTCACAAGAATTTTTTTGAATTCCATGTAATTTCACAAATTACATTTTGATAGTTTATGAGTATTTCAGGTCATTTCACGTAATTTTTTTTTGGAATTCCACTAAAATTTAGAGTTATTTTATAAAAATTCTTTGGAATTTTGCTGAAATTTAAAAAATAATTTCACGATATTTTTTTTTTTGAAATTTCATAATTATTTTTACGACTTTTCAAGTAGTTTCTTGTGAATTTTTTGGAATTTCACGAAAATTTTGATTTATTTCACAGGAATTTTTTCAAATTTTGCTAGAATGGCAAATAATTTCAGGAGAAATTTAGGTAATTTTATTTCAGTAAAATTACCTAAGAAATTTCAGAAGAATTTTTTGGAATTTCGAGTAATTTTACAGGTTTTTTTCAGAATTTCAATGATATTTCAAATACATTATTTCATGGAATTTCTAGTTATTCCGTAGGAAGCGTTTTTTTTTTTAAATTCCACGGCAATTCCAAGCAACTTTGAAGAAACTTTCTGAGATTTCACGTTTTTTTTAAAAAAATTCCACTAAAATTCCGATTTACTTTACAGGAATATTGCTAAAGTATTAAATAATTTCACAAGAACTTTTCAGAATTTCATATCTATTATTTCAGAATTTCACTTAAATTTTGAGTTATTCCACGGCAATTCCATGTAATTTCACGAAAATTCTTGGGAATTCAATAAAAAATTTAAGTAATTTTACAAGAATTTTATGTAATTTACGGAAATTTTTGCAATTTTTTTTTCTTCAATTTTACGAGAATTCCAAAAATTAAAAATTCCATTGAAATTACAAGTAACCTAAGGGATTTTTTTTTAAAATTTTACAAGGATTCCATGGTATTCTACAGGATTTTCTTTTGAAATTTAGCGAAAATTCCACGTAATTTTACGAAAATATTTTGGAATATCATGGGAATTTTCTGGAATTTCACGACAATAACTTAAAATTCCGGAGGCATTGAGTCGAATACTGAGAAAATTTCATTGTAATTCTTTCGCAGTATCACATAATTTTACCCATGTAATTCCACTATAATTTTAAATAATTTCACAAGAATTTTTTAAAGTTGCATGAAAATTTAATGTAATTTTTACGGGAATTTTTTGGAATTTCACGAGAATAACTTGGAATTCCGGGAGAATTACGTCAAATTTCCGGAAAATAGATGGGATTTCCACATAATTTTACCGGAATTTCACTGAACTTCCAAATAATTTCACAAGAATTACTTGAAATTTCACGAAAATTTCATGTAATTTTTACAGAAATCTTCTAGAATTCCAGGAAAATTAATGGAATTTCATCAATATTCCACGTAATTCCACTGAAATCCCAAATTATTTCACAAAATTTTCAATATTTGGGCAAGTTGTTAGTAGCTTATTACTTATGTATTTCAAATTTCAATAATTATTATCAATTGATTAATAAAAATTTGCCTGAATTTTGAAGTATAAGGTAAAATTCAGCACAACCATAACAACGGACTCTGAAATGTATTGAAAAAATTATTTATTTTTTTTTTAATTTAAAAAAAAAAAATTGTACACCAAAATTCCTTGTAATTCCATAAAAATTCCTTTAAATTCTACTAAAAAACCATGTAATTTCAAGGAAATTTTCTGAATTTTAAATTATATAATTTTTTTTTTTTTGGAATTTCACAAAAATAATTTAAAATTTTGGAGAAATTACTTGGAACTCCAGGAAAATTAATGGAATTTCATCGAAATTTAATAATTTTAACGGAATTCCACATATTTTTGTTCAGAGTTCTACGTCGAATTTCTGGAATTGTATTAAATTTTATTGGAATTTTATTTAATTGCATACAATTTTTATGAGATTTCGCATAATTTCCACATAATTTCGCCTAATTTCAGTGGAAGTTTGCATAGTTCTTATAGAATATTGCATATTTTCTATAGAATTTTGCAGAAATTCTTTGTACTTTTGCATAATTTCTATGAAATTTCGCATAAATTTTATGAAATTCCATTTTTATTATAATTTCCTTAAAAAAAAAAAAGTTTCGTGCCCAAAATCAGGTCGACTTAAAATCATGAGTTTTGTAGTGCGAGGTATCGAATTTTCCATAATTAGCACGTTAATTTTTAAATAAAATGCCATTTTTCTTAGCAAAAATCTCTATTGTAAGTCAATTTTCCCAAATCAATTTTTGTCTATTCCCGGCTCTCGAATTTGTCTCAATAAAGAAAATTCAAGAGCCTGGAATAAAAAAATATAAATATTCATATTTTTTCTTCTCAATTTTTATTTAATTCATCCTACAATCGTGCTTTCTCTTTCTCACTCATTGAAATTGAGTTTGCTTTTTTAGTGGTAGTGCGGTGGTAATAGTAATAGTTAAGTTTAGGTTCTTCTGAGTGGTGAGGGTTACACATATTTATAGAGAATTTAATGCTCTTTCCAATGATGTATAATTTATTTCAATTTAATCGAAATTTAACAAAGATATGGGCAATTTAGGCAGAATTCCATTCATATTATGAAAAATGTTAAAGAAATTATGCGAAATTATATTGTAATTCCTTTTGAAATTTCCAGTTATGACATGGAATTTTATTCAATTTCAATAAAATACCTGAGAAATGACGACAAATTTAAAAAAAAAAAAAAAGTTAAACTTTAGCAAAATTATATAGAAATTATGCAGAATTCCCCAAAATTTACGTGGAATTCCATTGCAATTAGATAGAATTTCAAATAGGTATGCTACATTCCATCAAAATTATGCGGAATTTAAGTAAAATTAAAGTAGTGACGTGGAATTCCAAAGAAAAAATAATTAATTTTAAAAAAATTACATGAAATTTTATAGGAATTTTGCAAAATTCTATAGAAATTATGCGCAAATGTATAGAAATTATACGAAATTTCAGTAAAATTAAATGAAATTCCGTAAAAAATATGGGAAATTTTATTGAAATTATGCTGAATTCCATTAAACAAATTTCATAGATTTCTATGAAAATTATGCAAAATTCTATAAAAATTATGCGAAAATTCAGTGAAATTAAATGGAATTCTGGGAAAATGGCGTATAATTCCAAAAAAAATCATTGAGTTTCAAGTAAATTACCTCGTAAATTACATAACAACCCATAGAAATTATGTGGAATTCCATAAAAATTATGCGAAATTCCGTAGAAATTATGAAAAATTCCATTGAAATTATGCTGAATACCATGGAAATGATGCCGAATTTAATACAAAGTATGAAGAGTTTAATTGAAAATATACCAAATCTCATTATTATGCGGAATTGTAGTGAAATTAAATGGAAAACGACGTTGAGTTTCAAAAAAATCAAAATCCCATAAAAATTATGTAGATTTAAGTTGCATGGAATTCTATAAAAATGCGAAATTTCATAGAAACTATACAAAGGTCCAAAGAATTTCTGCGCAATGTAATATTCTGTGAAAACTATGCGAACTTCTACTGAAATTATGCGGAATTACGATTTACATAAAAATTGTGTGCAATTAAATAAAATTCCAGTAAAATTTATTTAAATTCCAGGGATTCTATATAGAACTCCAAACGAAAATATGTGGAATTTCGGTAAAATTATGAAATTTCGAAGAAATTCCAAGTAATTTCTCCAAAATTTTGAATTATTCTCGTGGATTCCAAAAAAAAATATTATATTATTTGAAATTCCTGTGAATTTCCGAGGAATTCCTATAAAATTTTTTGCAATTACAGAAAATTTCCTTGAAATTATATGGATTCTTAGTAGAATTCCAGAGAATTTTTATAGAATTACGAGGAATTCTGGTGTACAATTTTCTTTTTAATTTACTAAAGAAAAAAAAGAATTTTTCCAGTACATTTCAGAGACCTTGACACGGTTGCACTGAATTTTACCTTATACTTCAAAATTCGGGCAAATTTTTATTAATCAATAATGGATTAATTTTTATTAATTATTAATAATAGTTATTGAAATTTGAAATAACTAATAAGTAATAAGCTATTATATAACAACTTACTCAGATATCAAAAATCTTTTGAAATTATTTGGGATTTCGGTGGAATTCCGATGAAATTGCATTAATTTTCCTGGAATTCTAGAAAATTCCTGTAAAAATTACGTGAAATTCTCGTGAAATTTTGAATAATTCTTGTGAAATTATTTGGTTCTGTGAAATTCCGGTAAAATTATGTGGAATTTCCAAGCAATTCCATCTATTTTTCCGGAAATTCCACGTAATTCTTCTGAAATTTCAAGTTATTCTCGTAAAATTCCAAAAAATTCTCGTAAAAATTACATTAAATTTCCATGCAACTTTAAAAAATTCTTGTGAAATTATTTAGAATTATAGTAGAATTACGTGGGATTCTGGTAAAATTATGGGATACTGTGAAAAAATTACGACGAAATTTTCTGAGTAATCGACTCAATGCTTTCGGAATTTTAAGTTATTCTCGTGAAATTCCAGAAAATTCCCATGAAAATTCCAAAATATTCACGTAAAATTACGTGGAATTTTCGCTGAATCTAAAAAAAAAATCCTGTAGAATTACATAGAATTCTTGTAAAATTCCAAAAAAAAAAATCCTTAAAGTTACTGTAATTTCACTGGAATTTTACAGAATTTCTATAATATCACTTGGAAGTCTCGTAAATTTTTTTAAATCGCCAAAATTTCTGTAAATTACATAAAATTCTTGTGAAATTACTTAAATTTTTTACTGAATTCCGAAGAGTTCTCGTGGAATTACATGGAATTTCCGTGAAATAACTCAAAATTTAAGTGAAATTCTGAAATAATATGAAATTCTGAAAAGTTCTTGTGAAATTACTTAATACTTTAGCAATATTCCTGTAGAGTAAAGCGGAATTTTAATGGAATTTAAAAAAAAAAAGTGAAATTTCAGAAAATTTCTGGAATTTCTTAGGTAATTTTACTGAAATAAAATTACTTGAACTTCTCCTGAAATAATTTGCAATTCTAGCAAAATTTGAAGAAATTCCTGTGAAATAAATCAAAATTCTCGTGAAATTTCAAAAAATTCACAAGAAACTATTTAAAAAATCATATAAATAATTATGGAATTCCAAAAAAAAAAAAAAACGTGAAATTATTTTTTGAAATTTCAGCAAAATTTCAAGGAATTTTTATGAAATAACTCAGAATTTCAGTGGAATTCTAAAAAAATAACCTGAAATACTCATGAACTATCAAAAAGTAATTTTTTGAAATTACATAGAGTTCCAAAAAAATCCTGTGAAAATACAGAAAATTTCTTTGATTAATTGAATTTGTAGTGGAAATTCCGAAGCATTTTTAGGAAATTCTGGTGTGTAATTTATGAACATTCCTTGAACATTTTATAATAACAATTTCAGTGGAATTCTAAAAAATTCTTGTAAAATTACACGAAATTCTCATAAAATTTCAGAAAATTTCTACGAATATTCCTGAAACCTTCTACGAACATTCCTCGAAAATTCTTCAAAAATATTCCAAAAAAAAACATGTTGAAACATTCTATAAACATTCTTGGAACATTTTTAAAATCTACATTGAAAATTTTTCAAGAGAAAAAAAACATTAACAACTTACTCAGATATCAAAAATGTTGTGAAATTATTTGAAATTCTAGTGGAATTACGTGAAATTCCGATGAAATTTCATTAATTTTCCTGGAATTCTAGAAAATTCCTGTAAAAATTACATGAAATTATCGTGAAATTTTAAATAATTCTTGTGAAATTATTTGGAAGTTTAGTTTCGAAAAAATACCAATGAAATTCCATCTATTTTTCCAGAAATTTCACGTAATTCTTCCGGAATTTCAAGTTATTCTCGTAAAATTCCAAAAAATCATATTAAATTTTCATGCAACTTTTAAAAAAATCTTGTGAAATTATTTAGAATTATAGTGGAATTACGTAGGATTCCGATAAAATGATGTGATATTGCGAAAGAATTATGACGAAATTTTCCGAGTACCTATTCGACTCAATGCCTCTGGAATTTTAAGTTATTCTCGTGAAATTCCAAAAAATTCCCTGGAAATTCCAAAATATTTACGTAAAATTACGTGGAATTTTCGCTGAATTTCAAAAAAAAAAAAAATCCTGTAGAATTACATGGAATCCTTGAAAAATCCAAAAAAAAAAGTTACTGGTAATTTCAGTGAATTTTGAAAAATTTCTATAGTACCTATCACTTGGAATTCTCGTAAAATCGCAAAAAATTCCGTAAATTACATAAAATTTTTGTAAAATTACTTAAATTTTTTACTGAATTCCGATGAATTCTCGTGGAATTATATGGAATTCTCGTGGAATAACTCAAAATTTGAGTGAAATTCTGAAATAATATGAAATTCTCGTGAAATTCCGAAAAGTTCTTGTGAAATTACTTGATACTTTAGCAATATTCCTGTAAAGTAAATCGGAATTTTAATGGTATGTAAAAAAAAAAATGTGAAATTTCAGAAAATTTCTTCAAAACTTTCGCTGAATTAAAAAAAAAAATCCTGTGTATTTACGTAGAAACCTTGTAAAATTCCAAAAAAAAAATTACTTCACTGAAATTACAGTGAATTTTGAAAAATTTCTATAGTATCACTTGGAATTCTCGTAAAATCGCAAAAATTTCCGTAAATTACATAAAATTCTTGTGAAATTACTTAAATTTTTTACTGAATTTCGAGGAATTCTCGTGGAAATACATGGAATTCCCGTGAAATAACTCAAAATTTAAGTGAAATTCTGAGATAATATAAAATTCTCGTGGAGTTCCGAAAAGTTCTTGTGAAATTACTTAATACTTCAGCAATATTCTTGTAGAGTAAATCGGAATTTTAATGGAATTTAAAAAAAAAAATGTGAAATTTCAGAAAAATTCTTTAAAGCTGCTTGGAATTCCCGTGGAATGGAAAAAAAAACTTTTTTTATTAGAAATTCCATGAAATAATGTACTTGAAATTTCATTGAAATTCCGAAAAAAACCTGTAAAATTACTCGAAATTCCAAAACATTCTTCTGGAATTTCTTAGGTAATTTTACTGAAATAAAATTACTTGAACTTCTCCTGAAATGATTTGCAATTCTAGCAAAATTTGAAGAAATTCCTGTGAAATAAATCAAAATTCTCGTGAAATTTCAAAAAATTCACAAGAAACTATTTGAAAAATCATATAAATAATTACGGAATTCCAAAAAAAAAAAAAACGTGAAATTATTTTTTGAAATTTCAGCAAAATTTCAAGGAATTTTTATGAAATAACTCAGAATTTCAGTGGAATTTCAAAAAAATTTACTTGAAATGACCTGAAATACTTATAAACTATCAAAAAGAAATTTGTGAAATTACATCCTGTGAAAATACAGAAAATTTCTTTGAAATTACCTAATTGAATTTTTAGTGGAATTGCCGAAAAATTTTTAGGAAATTCTGGTGTGCAATTTATGAACATTCCTGGAACATTCTATAATAGGAATTTCAGTGGAATTCTGAAAAATTCTTGTAAAATTACACGAAATTCTCATAAAATTTCAGAAAATTTCTATAAATATTCCTGAAACATTCTTTCAACATTTCTCGAATATTCTTCAAAAATTTTACAAAACTAAACATGTTGAAACATTCTATAAACATACTTGGAACACTTTATAAACATTTTTAAAATATACATTGCAAATTTTTCAAAAAAAAATAAAAAACATTTTGAAACATTTCTGGAACAGTTTATAAACATTCTTGAAATAGACGAATTATTTCAAAAATATATTAATAGTACAACTATACCATCTCTTAGAAAAGAAGACTTAATAAATGGTCCTAGAATAATCAACCCTGCAATTAGGTCCGAAATCTGAGAAGATTAAGGTTTAAATATTTCAAAATATCTAACAAAAGTAAGGGAAAATTTTGATTCATTTACTTACCACATCTGATGGCCAAACAATCATCTTGATTAAAAACCACCAAATTTTCTATAATCACATTCGTGGAATTCCACACGTCGAATCCATCAGTGTGGTGCCCTTCGTGTCCTTTCGGTGCTACACCCTATATAAAAAAATATAGATAATAAATATTAATCAATTCAAATAATAAGTAAACTAGGATCAAAATTACAAGTATCTGCTTACTTTATCTCCTTGAGAATCGTCAATAAACCAATTGTAAAACTCGACTTTGTCCGAATTAGTCACCTGAACAACGTCTTTTGGTGTATTTACAATGGTAAAGTTGCTGAAAACCGAATCGAAAGCTTCTATGGTGAAAAATTGGGGTTTTGGAGTGCCGCTTCCCCCTTTTCCGTCCCAATAGAGTTTACCTTGACCATCAATAATGGAGCCTGATAAGGAAAAAACAAAATAAAACAATATCACCCAACTAATTAAATAAATACCTTCTCCTCCTGACACTCGCAGTCCAGTTCCATTAATGGTAACCAACGGTCCAAACCAGTTAGTAAACTCAAACAAAGTGGTACCATTGAAAACCAAATTGGTACCTTTAAGTAGGTTCAATTTGAGTGTTACTCCTCCTGGTACCACAAGATCTTGCAACACTATATCGGTACATGTTTTGGTTGCATTAAGCACTTGTTCAAATTTGGTTATTGTGCAAATATCGGCCGATATTTTAGTTATTAGTAAAATTAAGTAAAAAATTGAATGGAAGGTTTTCATAATTGTGTTTTTAGTTAATTAGATACTCAATACTAAAATCTATAGTTGAAATTATATAACTACAAGTAGGCATGCAAATGTCAAGTTTTTTATAATGGTTTTGAAGTGTTTTTAAGATAAGGTTTTACAGGATGAGTAATTATAAAGATTAATTTGATATGTTCAACCTTTGATCTTTTATCGGATAAGTAACCAAAATTCCTGAGAGAAGATGGAATTGATACCTCATTCAAAATCTCTATTTTGGCTGAGTTTATGGATATGGAAACTCAACAAGGTTATTGAAAAAATCAGTTAAAAATATACAGACATTAATTTATTGCAATAAACATTTAATAAATTAATTACAACACATTAGCAAAAATACTGAAAACTAATGCTACAAAAGACACGAAAATTACGTTTGCTGTCCCAGGAGTTGGAGGTGCTTCAGTACTAGGATTGCCTTCTTCTAGACTAGAATTGTCACTTGTTGAAGGTGGTGGTAATGTTGTAGTTGTTGTTGTTGTTGTTGTTGTTGTTGTTGTTGTTGATGATGAAGTTGTAGTTGAAGTTGTTTCTTTTTCTGGTTCAATATAAGTTTGATTATTACATAAGAAACCCGTGCACCCTTCACAATCCATATAAACTTCTGGTCCAATATCGTTCAAGCCTGGATTAAGGATTACGCTTTGCACTGTTGGACATATTGTGGCTGCGTTATTCAGGCAAGTCCTAATGGTGTGGATTTCATGAGCTGAAAATTATTATTCAAAATCTAGAAATTATATTTCCATATTATATTACCTTCATGTAAAGTTGCAGTTACACATCCCCAAGTAGAATTTGTAACTCGATCAGAAGCTTTTTCAAGGTTTTTCAATGCTCTGGCAATTGCAGTATTATTACCGTCATACTCAGAAGTCTTAGTAGAAGAAGCAGGACAGTCGATGAGATGGACGTTACTTATAAAATCTGGATCAGTGAAATTGTTGCACCAGTTACTGCCGAAACATCTGTAGCATAAGTTTGGAGCGTTGTTTGCGGTCACTAGAATATTAAAATGAATAAAAATTTAAAAACTATTTGTGATGGTGGTAGAAATAAGTATTAGCAGTTTTCCTCAGGAAAAGCAACTAATTTAAATATCTTAAACAAATAATCAATTTTTATCTACAACCGTGCGGAAACTAAGGTAGCACACGAAATTGCCGCATGGCGTGCTATAATACCTTTATAATACCGTGCTGTAATATTATTTCTATAACTTTTCAAGTTTCTTTCGTATATTTTGTTACCGAACGTGTTGTGACGGAACTAGCTATTGTCCTTTTTTGGGCTTTAGTCAAACCGCACCAGGGATGCCAAAAGTTTTTACTTAGACTGACTGTAAAAATTAACCATTAGGTGTTGGATTATTTAAACCTTGTATTGGGTTAGGGGTTACCTTGATTCTCATTTATACAAATAAAACGCTGAAATAGAATAATTATCAATTTAATTAATAAATTAAAGTAATTCGGTATATAGATCAATCAAATCCTATCTAAAAAATCCTAATTGGACGATCAGTCGAACTACAAATTTTATACTAATCTAAAGCAAAGTTTTCTAAAGTAAAGTATCTTAATTTATAAAAAGTAGGAAAATCTAATAATGATAATAATATCATTTATGGTTAAATGTTCAATGAACGAGAACACAAATTAACTAATTAAATGCCCGAGAGCACAACATAAATAATTCGTCAACTTCAATCAATTCACTGTAATCACGAATTGTTTGTTGATCCTTGAAAGTTCTTTTATTTATTGACAGTTAAAAAATTTGAGCACTTTTCTGCTGAAGTCTGTGAACATTGTGCATGAAAAGTCTTTATATATATGCTCAGTTTCTATATACAAATGTACAGATGTTAATTTCACGACTGTGAAAACCGAATTTCTGCATCAAAGGTTAGAAAACATTTCAATTTATAGTGCATTTCAAGTGAATCACTGATCAGTATTTATTAACTTATTGTTCGACTGTTTAGAGAAATTGTAACGGTCTTTCATGCTTAATCCAGTTCATACAGATAAATCCATAAGGGGATTATTTATCCATTTATCACAGTCGCAAAATAGCTCCACTGTCTGATAAGGTAATGAAGAAATCTGTAATTTTACCGGTTCAAAGGGTTGTTGTTGCCGGTTTTACAGGCATCTATTTTAAGAATATTATTTTTATGATAAATAATAGAAATTGAGATTATATTAAATTAAAAATAATAAAAGTTTAAACTTGTTGTGGGTTATTTCCACAACAACTGTTAAAGGAAAAAAAGATTTGTACACCGCTGCACTAAATAGATTTATTGGTTAGATGGACCTTTCTCATTTTACCTGTGCTGCGCGCGCCGCTTGTGGGTGACAAATAATAAAGTTGTCAATTGAATGAACGCGGAACGCGGTCTGACCCTGACGTTTTTTAAGTTAACCTCAATAATCAATCAATATTGCTGCAAATTATTACAAAAACTGTTTATTATACGATGGTTCAAATGTGTTGTGTGAGATCTTGTCAGAGTAAGGCGAAAAAGAAGTCAAACCTTTCTTTTCACAAGTTCCCGAGCAATCAAATTATAAGAAAACAATGGTTACGTGCTCTCAACCTGACTGAAGACGATTTATTTAAGTTGGAACAGAGATTTGGGAGCTCGTGAAATAACGATTTCTATGTCAAATACAATAATAATTGTACAATTAAAGCTTTGCTAGCACTTGCAAATTCGTACTTCTCAAACTTTTTTAAACTTTTCCCCCACATATTTGTCATATTTACGTGTAAAAATAAACAAAAACAGAAATATAACCGAAATTGCACAATGTGACAAGTGGAACCAATCAAAGTCATTCCATACAGGTATCGCGCGTCATTATCTGTGTCTCTTTCTTTATTGCAGAAATCTTAATAAACTATTCTTGTTGTTCATTGCGTGAGAAAGGTCCATTGTCACCCTCTTCTAACTTTTTCATTTGACGTTTTTGACAAAAATGTCAAATACAAAAGTTTTAAGAAATTGTCAAAAGTTTTTAACTAAGGGCCCAATTACAGTATATTTGCATCTGCAAATATGGCCGACTTGCAGATGTGCTCTATTTGCAGGAACGAGCAAATTACAGAAAAAAACCTGCAAGTCCGTCATATTTGTGGAAAAAGTGTTCGGGCGCTACTGATTAACCAGTTTGAAATGTCAAAATTGTCAAAGTGACAGCAAAAACTTATGGGACCGTTTCGCCATGCGCAAATTTGCAGGCGACTTGCAAATGCATTTTGCTTCTGTAATACAAAAAGTCAGACTTACAGGTTCTGCATTTGTATCTTTCTGTTGCAGAGCTTCTGTAATTCAGCACTAAGCCCGCATTATATCTGCGTATTTTTTTTGTGTATTTCTGCATGTATTTATACATGAATGTAAAGCGAAAATATTAGCCGTGTATTTATAGCTTATATCACGTGAATAAATTCATGAATTTATATACATGCATAAAATAAATAAGGTACCTGACCCAAATAAGGCCATGTACCTAATAAGGCCAGTGCCCTTTATTGCCTAATATTGAATCCCATTTTCAAAAATTACAATATTATTAAAAAAGGAATCTTTAATGCAAATCAAAAATTATTTCAAGGATTCCTAGCAACTCGTCATCTGTCGAAAAATGGCCAACCACATATTTCATATGTCACGTCATAACTTTGAGGCTGGAACTTAATTATTTTATACACATATGTTTATAAAGTAAATGGAGCGAATGTAATTTTAACACGGACATTTATGTATTGAGAAAGTTACAGAGTAAGTACTGAATAATTTCTTGGCTAGATTTGTAGTTACAGACTTTTTTTTATCAATTTAACATGCTCCTAATAAGGCCATCATACGAAAAATGTTCAATTGGCCTCACATCACAGTGTTTTTTTTAAAAGAATGTGTCTTATTATTACCTGAGTGATGTTTTTTGAAATGCCCGGAGTCTAACCAAGCAAGATATGCTGCGGTTCATTTGTCCTAGTTGTATGTAGACCTATTTGTAATAATTTGTATCACTATCCCAGAACTTGGAATTATTGTTTTTTTTAGGAATGTAGCAAACGTATAAGTTCTATTTTGCATAGTATTTCTCAAATAATAGTATATTTTTAAAAAATTGTATTTATTTTAAATTTTTTTTTAATGGTGGCCTTATTAGGAGCATAGTGATCCAAATAAGGCCAATGGTAAGCGTCTTTGTTTTACGCAAAAACCGCCACTTATATGAAAAAATAAATAAATTGTAGTTAATATTCAAGTAATAGAAGCGAAACACTTCACATATAAGCTCGTGATTTTTGTTGGGTTTGGTGGATAATGTTAGGACAAAAATAAAACTTCTTAACATGGCCTTATTTGGGACAGGTACCTTACATGTAAAAATATGTATACGAAAATTTCAACGATATACGGTTTGGTATGTTTATCTACAAAAGTTATAGGGGAAAGAAAACGTGAAAACCCCTTCCAAGGTCTCATGTTGAAAAAAGAAAAATTATACCATTTAAGCTTTAGAGAGAATTATTTAATATAAATAAATAGTTTATAGAGTTTATTGTTCAAAGGTTATTATTAATTAAGAAGGAGAAATATAACAAGAAATCCAGATGTCTTAAGTTATTATTATTAAAAAAAATATCATGAGTCCTAGGAAGGGGTTTTCGCATTTTTCCCTATTCCCTATACCTAACTATTGAAGATAAACCGACAGATAAACATATCATTATCAAACCGTATATTGTTGAAATCAGGTTGAAGGGAATTGATAAATAAAATATACATGATTTTCCATTTAAAAGAAATATAACCTCTGTCTGCTATACTTTTTTGACGCACCCTGTATGCTTAAAACTGACTTAGTTTAATACCTACTTTTGACAATTTCTTAAAAGTTTTGCATACTTAGACTGAAAAATAATTTTTATCGAAAATCTAGAAAAAGATTATGATTTTTTGTATATACGGGCAAATGGTTTTTCAAAGTTTTCAAAAAATTCAAAAAAATTGGGGGGAGGGGGACTTGCAGCTTTTTATCTATAATAGGATTTGATTAATTTGAGATATAATTTTCCAAAAGTTGAAAGATCCATATCAGAAGGTTGTTTCTGCATGATGCAATATGCAATGGATAGAAATTTTGTAACAATTTTTAGTATAGGTACTAGTGTTGTGTTCGCCGAAATTAAATAACTCTTACTCAGTTGGGACGTTTTTGAATACTTTTATTATGTACAGAATAACTAGCTGGTACAAAATCTAGTATAACAATGAATTCCTTTTCATGGGAGTTTAAGCTCCTTATATATAAATTTCTATCTTAATGAATTATTATCTAAACCTAATGATCTATTCCTAAGTTGAAAATTTAATGAGCTTGTTTTTATTTACTCTTAATAATTGAGGAATAATTTGAGTATTGACTCAGATAAATATAATAGGAATATAATTTCGAGTATACAAATAACTCCTATCTGAAGGTAGGAAGAAATATGATTAGCGTAATTAACTAGATGACTTAATAATTATTGTCATGAGGTTTTGTTACGAAAATATAGTTGATATTGAAAAACCATAATTATACTGAAGAATTTGGGGTTGTTAGGTTTAAGTTGATTATTCCATATGAATGATTAGCATATATGGAATAGGCATATACTATATACTCACAACACTAGGTACCTACTTGGAAAGGGTTTAGGTTTGGCAGCTATGTTTAAAATCTGAATTTTTCAGAAATAGTTACATTTTCAAACTTGCAGGGTGGAAAGAGAAAAAATTATAAAATATTTAGGTAAGTACTTGTTCAATTCTGGATGCTTATCTTGAAATATAAATTTCTTAAAAACTACATAATCTGCAAATACTCTCAATCTTGCAGATCGAGTTTTTATTCACTGGATAATCAAAACCAGTTTCTAGCTACCAAACTATTCAATAAACGGAAACTTGATTTTCTCTTCAATGTTTCACTGAGCACAATTATACGACACAAAAAAATCTGTTAAAAAAGTGCAAATCATAGATCGTTACAAAAATTTCCAATGAGAATCGATAAACTTCTTCTTTAATCAAATATTAGTTGCAATTAAAATTCTTACCAAAAACTAACACCAATATAAAAACAAAAAACCTAGAATTCAGCATTTTTGCGGGTAAAATGATCACGACTCTCTTTAATTGAAACAATAATAATAATTGTCTCATTATTTTAATCAGATCATCGATCACAGTTTCTGGTATTAGCCCCCTCGTATAAACATCAAAAATTTGTCTGCTATATCAATTTTGAAAAATTTATAACAAATAATTAGAGCCATATATTATCTATCAATTATTTTGTCTCTTATATTAAAACTATATTTCACTTATTTTTTTATTGTATCACCATGAAGAATTACTTTGTTCAAATTTCTTACTCAAAGACTAAAACAAAATCAATAATTATTTACCTAGGTTTTCAAAAAAAAAATATTTTTTTTTTTTTAAATAAAATTTAACTTGCATACAATTTTCAAATTTTAGAATTTTTGATTATTTCCATATTGATTTTTGATTATGGGACATTATATTTCCTATCAGTTCTGGGACATGGGACATATTTGCCCCATAAGACATATGCAATGAAACACTACATTTTACAAAACAGTTTTTTTTATTCAAATACATATTGAGTATGAAATGATGTAAAAACAAGCAACACCTCCAAAGTCTTCTGAAAAAGTCCTCTTTGATCCATTCTATAAAAAACCCATTAAAAAGTACTCATGGGACACATTATGTCCCATTATGGTCTTATTTTCCACAAAATATCTAACTGTATTGATAATAATTACCAACATGTTTGTGAGGCTTTCAAAGTTTTTGAAAAAAGTAACGGAATTTCAAACTTTTTCGAAAAAGTTGGTGAATTTTAAATTTTTTGAAAAAAGTGAGTGAATCCCAAAATTTTTGAAAAAAGTGAAGGAATTCCAAATTTTTGTAGAAAAAGTGAGGGAATTTCAATTTCTTTGGAAAAAATGAGAAAAATAAAAAATTTTGAAAAAACCCAAGTAACACGAAACGATCTATTTGTGGTTTAAAACACATCTATGGCATCTAAATTGCATCTATGTCTGACTTAGATTAAATTTTAGACGTCTATTTTGGACGATTTTTATACGATACGTACAATAGACGTTTTTTAGATTTCTATTTATTTCAGGAAAATACACTTTTATACATTTAAAAGCTATGTCAAATGTCTAAACTAGATCTAATACTCTTCGTTAATAGATGTTTATTCCTGTAAATTTTAAACCTCTATTTTAGACCATTTGTAGACAATACGTACAATTACACCGGTTTTTAGATCTATTTCATTATCTATCAATCTATATTCACCATCTATCAGATATCTAAACTAGAAATCTAATATTTGTAAGTAATGGATGTCTTTTTCAAGTAAATTTTAGACGTGTTTTAAACTATTCCGCTAATTCGCGGTACGTGCTGAGGACTGCGCGTGCGCGTTACGAAACTCTTTAGTTGATAATTTTGGCATCCCAGGTTGTCGCTGCGATCGTTGTCGTTACTCGTTATAACAACGCGTTGTTGGTTCAGTTGGTTGCTGGTGTGGTTGTGGCGGGTGTCCATGTTGTGGCGTGCGATTGCCGATTAGGGCTAATGCGATTTTAATCTTGTCCGTTCCCTATTTATTTTCGCGAATAATCGCCGTATATTTTTGGTTTTTGGTGGTTGTACGTATTCGCGATTGATGGATTAATCATTAATCGGTTTCGCCAATTTGCATGGTGTGTTTATGGGTAAGTTTTTAGTTTTATCTTTTTTATAGTATAATTATAATTTATTTTTTCTCACATTACCGGCATACAAAATCGTGAAAAGAATGTTAATATTGCAGTAATAAATGTTTCTACTATCTAGAAAAAAAACTTGGTCATACAGTGTCCGCCATAAAGTTGGGTACATGTGTGTGTCGTGTATAGGTTAGGTATTTATTATAATAAAAAAAACATGAAAATGGCGCCAATACCGACTACGTATTTTATTGGAAGGGATAGTGCCCACTGAGTGTATTTGTCTTCTTCTACCAACTTGTTTAAGATAGACATGAAAATACATTTTTTTCTGCCCTGGTTCTACCAATAAAATTCGCTAGTCTGACGCCACAAGAGGCGTGGCTTGACTCTTGAGAAACCTTTCCAAACAAACAACGGTTTACAATATATAAAATCCCATAAGGGAATTTTTACTACCCGTTTATTGTTCCATTTGGTTTGGATAAGGCTTCTAGCTGAGATATTTAGACAAAGTGTGCGCGTATTGACCGATTTTCATAAAAATATTTGCCAAGGTACCTAAGTCTTCCGTGCCAGTTTTTGACGAAATAAATAGCTGAATGACAGTTGAGGTTATGTTTTTTTTCTATTTTGCGAGTTTATAAATTAGAAAACTAACTTTAATACTGTTTTTTCTTGAAGATTGAAAGTTAATTATGCCTCCTTTACGGAAATCCTAAAATATTTTTGTATTTCTTTAATTAGGAAGAGGGTTTTTCAAATTTGGCTGAAAACAACTACATAAACAACCTTAAATTCTTTAATTTCTCGAAAATACAGCGGATATTGGAAATTTTTACATAGAAATCAGTCGATATACACACACTTTATCCAAATATCAGAAACAGAAGCCTTATTCACGTAGAACTGAAGAATGCGAAGGCATTAAAAATTACCTTATGGGTTTTTACATGCAAACCGTTGTTTGTTTGGAAAGGTTGACTGGCGATCACGTGCCGGCATGACGTCACGACTTAGGTAATCTATTCCTTAATTCTTAATTTTTGTCCCTAATTCTTAATTCGTAAAAAGTTCAATTTATTTAACATTGGTGTTTTCAAGGATTAAGAATTAAGAAAAAAAATTAAGAATT